CTTCCAAAAAGGTAATCCCACACCCTTAGACTTACATGTATGTATTTATTAAGGGAATATGAGTATGAATAAGTATTAGAACTCTTGTATGGTGATTGGAAACCATAAGTTCCCAATTTAATTACACAATTATTATAGAGATTGAAAGATGTTTATTTAATGGAACTTTGTTGGTAGGGTGTGGATGGATGGTCATATATATGATGTTGGAAGTTATAAATTGGTTAATCATGATGGTGGGATAAATTGTTGATGAATGGTGGTAATTAGATGAACTAACTATATGGTGATGAGATGTAGAGATTTATGCCTACAATGTGTTTGATAATATGCCTAAATGGCTTAAGTTATGGAATTTGTTACTAAGATTGGTTCCATAGGATGTTCTATTTTAGATTGAAGGTTCTTAGTGTTGTGGATCATTGTAGTATCACTAAGGGGTGAAATTGAGGTATGTGAGGCTAACTCTCTTTACGTTTGGGAATGTTTACGATTCTCCCTACATCCCATTCATTATGACTATTACTAGTTTCCTCAGAAAGTAATTATACCTTAGTTCCATGAATAGGCGTAGAACTTCTATTCTCTAGCTTCGTAACCCATTCATTACCTTCATTCTAAACGTTGTGAAATCAGTACATAATCAATATAGACTTGGGTTTGATGCCCATAAGTCTCAGTCCAGATTACACAGCATGTCATAAACAGTTGAAGTTTCAGTTTTCATAATCGGTTCATGAGTACATGTCCCAATCTAGTTCTATTTATCATTCGAGTATCGTGCAACTCAATATGATTCAATATTTCAGTATCATGTATTGCGGTATGATTCTCAGTTCCTGATTTTAAATCCCTGAATGTTGAACCCTTGTATTTGGGCCTGAGGCCGCTGTTAATGCTTTATGCATATTTGGGCCTGAGGCCGCAGTTAATGCTTTATGCATCTTTGGGCCTGAGGCCGTAGTTTATGCTTTATGCATCTTTGGGCCTGAGGCTGCAGTTATGTATACGTATACTTGGGCTCGAGGCCGCTGTTTGTGCACATATATATTGGGCATGAGGCCGCAGTTTAACATTCATATAAACAGGTTGTTCATCATTTAGAAGAGGGAGTATTCATATCCTTACTTCCTTTGTTCAGTTTCAGTTATCAGTTATCAGTTCAGTTATCAGCTATTATTTCAGTTTCAGTTTCAATAGTTATCATTTTAGTTATCAATTATCAATTCTCAGTTATCAGCTTAGTTTCAGTTTTAGCAATTATAATTCTTTCTTTCAGTTGCTTTACATACCAGTGCAATTCAAATGTACTGATGTCTCTTTTTGCCTGGGGCCTGCATCTCACGATGCAGGTACTAATTTACAGGTTGACGATTCGGAGCGTTAGGATTCTCGTACCAGCTATTGGGTGATCCCCAGTTCTTTCAGGGCATTATCATTACCTTACAACTTTTCAGTATTTACATATAGACAGTGTTTTCAGTACTTCAATAGATGCTTCATAGACCAGAGTAACAGTTAGACAAAGTCACAAGCTTTTTATGTTTAGCAATGTTAGCTACAGACATGTTTCAGACTTGTATAGTATTTCCACACTTTGATCTTTATCAGTCAGACTTTTAGTATACCAGCATGTGTTAGTTTATCTTTCGCATTTGGTATGTTATGATATCACATGTTGATTCAGCCAACCAGTTGGTTCGGTCGGTCACATGTAGTCAGGCACCGAGTGTTGTGTTACGTCTAGGCCCAAGTTCGAGGCGTGACATTCACCAGGTGAATATGGAAGATCATATGCCTTGCTAACAACATTGAATTCTATAGTTGTGCCAAGTTCTTATATGCATGCAAGTAACCAGAAATGTTGGAAGGATGCAATGCATGAAGAATTGGTTGCCCTTGAGGAAAATAATACGTGGGATATAGTGTATAGACCATAAAATGCAATAATTGTTAGAAGTAGATGGGTGTACTCAATCAAGATGAAAGCTGATGGATCCCTAGATCGATACAAGGCAAGATTGGTGGCTCAAGGATACAAACAGGAGTATGGAATCGACTACGATGAAACATTTGCTCCAGTAGCTAAGATGAAGACAGTACGTATATTGCTTGCTTTAGTGTCACGACCCAATTTAGGGTCATAACCGGCGCTCAGGAGCAAGTGCCCCTAAGTAAGACTCATTGATATTTTACAGAAACGGACAGAGTTTTTCCTATTTTTGGACTATCAAAAAAACATTCATGTTGCAAAATCAACAACCAAACATCCTAATATTAATCCAACTAACAATAACTTTATCCATTAACCAAAACAAGTCTCAACCATTATAATACACCCACTAACAGCCACAAATACTAATTTATCTCCAAATTCGATAAGAAAGTGCAATACTCATCATAAGTCTATAATAACGAAAGAATGACCATGGAGCAACTCTATGAGTTAATAAAAAAAGACGATAACAAATAAATAAACTCTTCGCCCACGCGAACAAGTGCGGGACTCACCAGGAACTATCAACTTGTATACCCTAATTAACGAAATCCTCGCTCGCGTCAACTGCTATCTCTGTAAAAAAATAGCGGAAAGTGAGTTGCTAGCTCAGTGAGTACAAGTCAGAAACCATGCTAGTATATTGTATAGAAAATATCATAAGAATGCCCTTTCAGAAACAATAAACAATAATCAGTCTCATCATGTGTTTCGTATAACAAAATCAATTGAACAATTCGGTAATAAAATCGGTAAGTACTGTCTCATAGCAAATCTTTATGTTTGGGAGATTTCCAATAAAGGATCATGTAATCTGTACCACTGTGTGGACCCCTTCGTACAAGGAGTCAAATATAACTGTAGGTCCCTACTCGAGGGAAAACTGTAACTGTATGCTAGTTCTACCTTCCCACTAGCGAGGGCTCTAACTGTACTTGGTAATCGGTAAATAAAAGGTGCACCAGGTCTAACGAACCTTCCATTAGCTACAAGATCCTTCAAAGTCTCCTCCCATTTATACTTTTCTTTGTAAACAGTACATATTCATATGAACGTATTTCACAATAGTACATGGTATTTCAATTCTTATCAAATCATGTAATCTCATTTCGGTAAAGGTAATCATATCTCAAGTAGTAATAAAACACATTTAGTAACAGTGAGAACATTTTAAATAACTGTAAAACATCTCAAGTAAACTGTTCAGTATCATATCAAGTAAAGGACTTGTCCCACATACAATTTCAAACATTCGGTAATATATTTTATTTTTAAAATAATGTATAAACCATGCAGGTTATGAAAACACAAATTGCGGTAAGATTACTACTCACCTCTAAAAGCCAACTAGCCAAATCTCGACTTCTTATCGATCCAAATGCTCAACTTGTGTGTAAATCTATAAATCGATATAAGTATACTGTTACCACCCATCAATTCCACAATTCATTCATCTAAATAAATATCTATTTGTGAATGCATTTTCTATTCTCAAACCTTACTTCAAACTTCTTTTCCAAGTATATTGGAAATATGGAGGAAATAGTAGTATTGAGTTTACACCTCCATATCTTCTTAATAGAATTAAAGGAGTACAAACAGAAAAATTAACTTAGCATCTTGTCTGCTCACCCAAAATTTTGAAATATATAGCTAATCTAATTTGACTAATTTTTTTTTCACTTAGTCTATCTCGAATGAAATCTGATTCTAGTTTATGGGTATTCTCATATTTAAGTAAATTGATACTTCTATATCCAAATCATTGTTATTACCCTTTACCTCAACCCATGACAATATGTATAAAATCATGTCAGTAGAATAAAATTTATAAGAATACTTTGTTACCTATTTTCTAAAGCTTGGTTCCAACCTCTTTCTTCTTCTCCTCTCTTTTTCTTTCTCTGCGTCTATTTTTTTTCCCGTTCTATAGCTGCTGTTTAGCCGCAGCATAATTGCTGCACTCCCTTCCCACAAAATCCCTTTAACTTTTGTTTTTTTCTCTCCTAATGACCTAACACGTTATTGATGGGTTAAAGCCCAATTACATACTCTTGTTTTTTGTTTTATTAGTTATTTTTTTCAATTTACTTAACTACCCCTGTATTAATGAGTGGTATTACATTTAGCGTCAATAAAAAGTTGGAAATTTCATCAACTGAAAGTGAAGAATGCTTTCCTATACAGGGACTTGCAAGAAGTGATCTATATGAATCTACCACTAGGTTATAAACATTCTAGCGCAAATCAGGTGTGCCGTCTTAAAAAATATTTGTATGGATTAAAGCAGGCTCCTCGCTTTTGATTTGAAAATTTTTGAACAACAATCCTAGGTGCTAGTTTTACTCAGAGCATATCAGATTATTCATTATTCCTATGTCATTCCAGCTCAGGCATTACTATTCTCCTTATTTACGTAGATGACATGATTATCACAGGAAATGATGAAGTTGGAATCTCTCATCTGAAAAACCTATTAGACTCCTCATGAAGGACCTAGAAAAGCTAACATATTTTTTGGTCTTGGAAGTGAGTTATGGAAAAGAAGGCATATGATTGAGTCAGCAAAAGTATGTCGAAGATCTTGTTCAGTTAGCTAATCTCACAGATGATAAGAAGGAGAACTTTTTGGAGATCAAACTTTGTATAGACGTTTGGTTAGGTCAATTATATATCTTTCCATGAGTCATCTTGATATCTCTTATGCAATATAAGTGTTAAGTCAATTCGTCACTAAGCCTTACAAGATCACTACTCAGTTTTGCTCAGGGTTATTAGATACATAAAGGGTACTGTGAGTCGAAGTCTCGTATTTCCATTATCTTCATCGCTGGACATGGTGAAATATGTGTTAGTTTTTCCAACAATTATGGTGATGTATGGGAGAGGTAAGCAATGATGCAACTCTCCTTAGTGAGATAAGCAATGATGCAATGAGTGGTAGGTGAGATGGGAATATTGCAAATTGATCCTTCTTGGTAGGTGAGATTTGCATTTTTGGTCCCTATCTCAAAACTATAAATACCCCCTTCCATTTCATTGTATAACACACCAAAAAATATATCAAAACTCAAGAAGAAAGAGTTTGAGAGGGAGAGAGATATAGTTCCTTTAGGAATGTTTCCTAACAGGGGAGTGACAAAATAGTGAGTAGAAATACTAGTCGGGTATTTTTCGGGAAACACTTTTGTGTGCGCCACTATTTTGGGTAGAGCTCAGGAATTGTTGTACCTCCAAATTATTGGGGAAGTCTCTCTTTGTATGCCTGCTAAATGTTTTAGTGGAAGTTGGTGTCGGATTTGTGGACGTAGCCTAAACGTTTTAGGTGAACCACGTTAAATATTGTGTCATTTATTTTTGGTTTCGTTGATCATTTATTTTATTCCGCTGTGCAGTAGTGTTTAGTGCCACCGGGTCCTAACAATATGCTGATACAGATTGGGCTAGATACCCTGATTCAAGACGATCCACTACAGACTGGTGCATGATGCTTCGCTCGTGCATGATCTCATGGAAGTGTAAAAAACAATCTCTAACATCGAAGTGATCCACAGAGGCAGAATATAGAAGTATGTCTGTTGCATGCTTTGAAATCATTTGGCTAAGGAGGCTATTATCAAAACTTGACATCAAGATCGAAGGATTAACCATATTGTATGGATACAATACCAGTGCAATTCGAATAGCAACCAACTCCGTTCATCATGAAAATACCTGGCACATAGACGTAGATTGTCACTACATGCATCAGAGAACTGATTGAAGATCGGAGCACTAATCTGAGGTATATATCATCTAAAGATCAACTAGCAGATTTGTTCACAAAGGCTATGTCTAGAAGTCGACACAATTATCTTCTGTCCAAACTCTTGCTTTGTGATACATAGCATTAGTTTGAGGGAAGGTTTTGACTAAATCTTATTTTACAACCCAATCTCAGGGATGTCCTATTATGACTAACATTAAAATTGTATAGCAAATTAGCTGCCCTATTTCAGGGTTATTTGTCTAGCAATTAGTAGGCTAGTAATCAGAAGATAATTGAGACTCTTTTGCTTGTACAAATACCTTGTAAATCCCTCAGTTCTGGATAATTGAAAGATATTAGAATTCTTTCATTTTCTGGATCTCTCTCTTTCTCAATAAGATATATATGCAAAAGATTACCAAATTTCAATAAATACTATGTTTTGAACCCATAATGTTAATTGCGTAATGAATTCAATGATAAAATTTAAAATATAAAAATTGAACCCATCAAATTAAAATCCTGGATGATCCGCCTCTACTTGTTGGTATGTTTTTAACTCGTATAGAGTAAGGTCCCGCTAAACTTTCCGTGTGGAGGGAACTCCGGAAAAGGAAAATCAAATCATGGGTAATTTTCAAAACTATTATCAACTCATAATTTTAGCTCCGATAGTAAGAGCAAGTGAAAACTTGAACAAGGGATGATTATTTATTTTTAAATTGAAGTTTTCGGAAAAAAAGAACTTGAATGTTAAAATAAAGCTCAAGGTTTTCTTCTTTTGTCTCCTCCAATTATGTCCCTTTACTTTTTCTTTTTGTTTGAGATTACATCACACCCAACTGAAACATGATTTAATTCGTGGAACAATAAGCAGTGGTCATGTAACAGTATATTGCCTTATGGAAGTGCTGTTCCGTTTTAAAAATTGACAATCTTTATCACAAAAAGATTTGATGTTTGCCGAAGGACATTTTCCCATTTGTTTAACTACTTCACTTGCAAATAATCTTAACGTATTTGCAAAATACGTTTTGTTTCACAAGTTCTGGAAAAGATTTTTAACTTCATCTTAAAATAATTATTTGAAGTTATTCTCTGGGGACCAACGGGGCACCCTTCATAGGCGCCCTTTATGTACAACTCTCGCAATGGAACCCATTTCTTTTTGTCTTGATAATGTGATGAATACTAGTATGGATAATGTAGCAAACGCTGGTCCTAGTAGGGATATTGTAGTAAATGCTGGTGGGAGTGATCAATTATTTTTTTGTAATGCTGAATCCCCACCAGCTCTTGCTCCTTGTAATATTACTTAACTTCTAATATATGTCTCTTTTATTGACAAAAAAAAAAAGAATTCAAACGCACAAACTCAACTTTTAGATAAATAACGTTCTTTTTCCGTTGTACCAATTCTTGGTGGTGTATTTCCCTCTAAGAAAAAGTATGAAACTAAGCACATGAAATAAAACAATAAAGAACAAGAACAATATTGTAGAAAAAGAGGGAGAGAGAATTCTTATTGAATTTTGGGATGATTTACAATGGGGTAAGACCCCTCTATTTATAGGGGAAAAATGACTTAGCCACAAAGTAAAACTCTCTAAAAGATAGACATTCACTCTAATTACAATTGTATTCATAACACTCCTCCTTGAATATCTACTCAATAAGTAATGTGCCTCGTTAAAACCTTACTAAAATAAAATTCAATGGAAAAAAAATCTAGAAAAGGAAAAAGAGTACACATGTTTAGAAATGCGCATTTTGGTTACCTCGTTAAAAACTTGTAAAACCTAGTGGGACAAAACCTTGTAAGGGAAAAAGAGTGCAACGCACATTAAATTCCTCTTATGAGAGCATCAATTCACATCCTTGAGCCTTCGCATCCCGATCTTGTACACTAGCTTCTTGAAGGTTGACGTTGGTAGAGATTTTGTGAACAAATCATCCATATTATCACTTGAACGAATCTGTTGCACATTAATATCACTATTCTTTGAAGATCATGTGTGAAAAATAACTTTGGTAGAATATTATTTGTCCTATCTCCTTTTATGAATCCTCCCTTCAATTGGGCTATGCATGCTGCATTATCTTCATACAAAATCGTGGGTAGTTTGTCACGCTTCAAACCACATTTTTCTCGAATAAGATGTATTATAGACCTCAACCAGACACATTCTCGACTTGCTTCATGAATAACAATTATCTCAGCATGATTAGATGAAGTAGCCACAATTGATTGCTTAGTCGATCGTCAGGATATGGCAGTGCCACCACAAGTAAACACATAGCCTGTTTGAGATCGAGCTTTGTGTGGGTCAGATAAATACCCAGCATCGGCATAACCAACAAGATCAGGACTGCAATTATTGCCATAAAATAAGCCCATATCGGTAGTTCCTTTTAGATACCGTAATATGTGTTTGATTCCATTCCAATGTCTCCTTGCAGGAGCAGAGCTATATCTTGCTAAGACATTAACTGAAAAAGTTATGTCAGGCCTTGTAGTGTTAGCAAGATACATTAGTGCACCAATTGCACTAAGATATGGTACTTCAGGACCAAGTAGCTCTTCTTTCTCTTCTTGAGGTCGGAATGGATCCTTATTCACATCAAGTGATCAAACAACCATCGGAGTACTTAATGAATGTGCTCCATCCATGTAAAACCGTTTCAGTACCTTTTCTATGTAGGCAGATTGATGAACAAAAATTCCATTTGCCAAATGTTCAATTTGAAAACCAAGACATAATTTTATCTTTCCGAGATCTTTCATCTCGAATTCCTTCTTTAAATAATCAATTGCCTTTTGGAGTTCTATAGGAGTTCCAATAAGGTTTATGTCATCAACATATACGGCCAGTACAACAAATTCCGATGTTGTTTTCTTTATAAAAATACATGGACAAATGGCATCATTTATATAACCTTCCTTTAATAAATACTCACTAAGACGATTATACCACATACGTTCTTATTACTTTAGACCATACAAAGATCTTTGCAATTTGATTGAAAACATTTTCTGGGACTTTGAATTATGTGCGTTAGGCATTTTAAATCCCTCGAAAATTTTCATGTATATCTCATTATCAAGTGAACCATAAAGGTAGGTGGTAACCACATCTATTAAATGCATGTCAAGTTTTTCATGGACAACAAAACTAATGAGATAACAGAATGTTATAGCATCCATAACGGGTGAATATGTCTCTTCATAATCGACACTAGGACTTTGTGAAAATCCTTGTGCAACAAGACGTGCCTTATATCTTTGTACCTCATTTTTCCCATTCCTCTTGCGTACAAAGACCCATTTATAGCCAACAGGCTTAACACCATTAGGTGTTTGGACTACAGGCCCAAAAACTTCACGTTTCGCAAGTGCATTCAACTCTGATTGGATTGCTTCTTGACATTTTTGCCAATAACGTCTTTGTCGACATTCTCCAACAGATTGAGGTTCAAGATCCTCATTATCTTGCATAATGCTAGATGCAACATTATATGCAAAGACATAATCCACCACTATATCCAATCGATTTAAATTTGTCTCAATATCGATTGGATTTATTGATAGTTCCTTATTTTCTTGAGTCTCGGGCTCAGTGGTTTCCTCATGAATCTTAGAATTTATTAAATCGTGTATTTCTTCACGAGATTCTTTCGTAGTATCATTTTGATCATTTGTTTTCCTTTTTCTAGGATTTCGATATTTAGAACCCAATGGTCTGCCACGTTTTAGGCGTGCTTTTGACTTATTAGCTATGACACTAGAAGATTGTCCAATAGGGACATCAATAAGGATTGGAACATTCTCTGCAGGGTTATGTGATTTTGTTATCCTTTTCAAATTCGTAAATGCGTCTGCCATTTGATTTGCTATTCTCTGCAAATGGATAATCTTTTGCACCTCTTTTTCACAAATTGAGGTACATGGATCAAGATGGGACTATGATGAATTTTTCCACATAATTTTCCGTTTAGTTTCACCAATTTCTCCCCTAATTTTGGAAAAAGTGTCTCATCGAATCGACAGTCTGCAAATCGAGCAGTGAATAAATTCTCCGTTAATGTTTCAAGATCGCGAATGATGGACAGCGATTCAAACCCAACATATATTCCTAACCTTCTTTAGGGACCTATTTTGGTGCGATATGGCGGTGCTACAGGCATATATACTGCGCATCCAAAAATTCTTAAATGGTATATATTAGGTTCATGACCCAAAACTAATTGCAACAGGGAATATTTATGATAATTTGTCGGTTTGAGAAACAGGAGTGGGCAACCTCGTTTTCACGAGTAACTGTCTTGCTATCAATTGCAGACATTTAATTAAAGAATCTGCAAGGCCATTTTGAGTGTGAACATGAGCTAAAGGATGTTCTACTTTTGTCCCAATTGATAAGTAATAATCATTAAATGCTTGGGATGAAAACTCAACAACATTATCAAGTCCAATAGACTTAATTGGATTATCGGGGAATTGCGCCCGTAATCGAATTATTTGTGCTATTAATTTTGCAAACACGAGGTTGCGAGATGACAATAGGCACACATGAGACCATCTAGAATATGCATCTATTAAGACCATAAAATATTTAAACGACCCACTAGGTGGGTGAATAGGTCCACAAATGTCCCCTTGTATACGTTCCAAAAACGCAGGAGACTCAATCCCAATCTTTGTTGGTGATGGTCTAATAATTAACTTGCTTTGATAACAAGAAGTGCGAGAAAATTCATTATTTAAAAGAATCTTTAAATTCTTTAATGGATGCCCATTTGAGTTTTCTATAATCCGTCTCATCATAATTGATCCAGGGTGTCCCAATCGATCATGCCAAAGTACAAAAGTATTGAAATCAGTTACATTTTGTTTTATAATAAAATGTGCCTCAATTGCACTAATTCTTGTCTAATACAGGCCACAAGATAAAGATAAGAACTTCTCAATAACCCTTTTTTAGTCAGAGACATTCTTGGTAATGATGAAATATTCAAAATTATTCTCATCTATTGTCTCAATATGATATCCATTTCGGCAGATATCTTTAAAACTCAACAAGTTCCTTTTGGACTTGGAGGAGAACATCGCATTATGCAAATATAACCCGGTTTACAAGGCCGGAGTCGAATCCCACAGAGAACTAAGGCTTAGCTACAGCTGTTCACTATCACCAAGAAGACAAGCTTGAACAGTTCCTAACTTATAGATATTTAGATTCTTGTGTTTAACTAATTGATTAACAAATTAAAATAATAAATTAACAACTAAAGATACTAAGAGTTAGAGACAAGATTAAGGAGGTCTAGAGTTATGATTTCCCCAATTGTCGGAATCCTTCTCGCTATGTCTTCTATAAT